GGAAGGGGGCGGGGGGGCGGGCGAGCGAGGGCGCGGAGGGGTGCATGCATGCGTGCGTGCATGTGTGTGTATGAGTGCGTGCATGCTTGTGTGCGTGTGTGAGTGCGTGCATGAGTGCGTATGTGTGTGTACACGAGTATGTATATGTGTGTGTGCATGCGTGCATGAGTGTGTACACGAGTGCGCGCATGAGTGCGCACATGTGTGTGCGTGCATGAGTGTGTCCTGGAGCTTGGGCAGAGGAGAGGGGGCTTTAGGGGAGGACCTGCGACTCTGGGCTGAGGGAAGGACCCGAGAGCTGCGCTGGGGCGGCGGCTGAGCGGACCCGAGCATAGGGTGGAGGGCGCTGGACGAGAGCTCTTGCAACTTGAGACCAGTGGGTGGGAGCTGGGGAGGTGTGGGTGCAGGAGGCGGGGCCTGGGCCAGCTCTGGGAGGAAAATGTCCCCTGAAGAGAGAGCATCGGGAGGGACGGGAGGGACCGGCGTTCGGCGTGCTGTGAGATGGGATTGCGTTGGAGGTGGAGATCGGAGGAGACATGGAGAGCCTGGGGTATTGGGGTGTGGAGAGCAGCAATTGGGGTGTCAAGAGACGGGGTGTTCTTCCCAAGACTTTGTGATCGAAAGAGTTGAGGCACACAGTGCGGGGCCTACAGAGGCTCTGAAGAGGTGAGTGTCATAAGGAGGGTGTTTTTGTTGTTGTTATAAGGCAAGTGAAATCTTTTAGGGTTTTTAAGAATCCCTGGTGCTGGAGAGATGGCTCAGTTGCTGAGAATCCTTGTTGTTGCACTGGGAATCCAGCTTCGGTTCCCAGCACCCAGGTTGGGCCACTCTCAGCTGCCTGTCGCTCCAGTTCCAGGAGGCCCTTCCTTTCTTTGGGTTTCCGAGAAAACATGCATACATATGGTGCACATACATAGACTCCTACACACTTAGGTACACATAAAATTTAGATCTTTTCTTTTTAAAAGAATTCTTGGCTAAAAGGGTTTGGGAGAGGAGGGGGATTTGATTTAGAAGCCGGATTGCTTTGTTTCTTGGCTGTGGGTTGGAATGGGATGCTTACACAAGACCCTACCCTCGGCCTTGGACGAAGGATCTTCCTGTGTCAGCCACCTGGGACTAAAGGGGTGTACCGACCTTGGCTAAACACTGGGATTTATCTTCTAATCAGAAAGAGTAGAAACATTTTACTTTTCCTGCTTTCAAAAAAAAAAATGTGTTATCACAGGACCTTGGATTTGCAGATCCATGGATTTGGCTGTCTGTATTCTTCTTAGACTTTTTTTTTTTTTTATGTTTTTAGAGTGTGAACATGGCTACGCCTCATCGTTCCCCTCCATGCCGAGCCCCCGGCTACAGCATTCAAAGCCCCCACGGAGGTTGAGCCGGACTCAGAAACACAGCAGTGGGAGCAGCACTACGAGCACTGCCAACAGGTAGCGATTTGGGGAGGTCAGGGAACCAGACTGAAGGAGTACAGACTCAGAGCTAGTACTGTTGACCTGTTTTCCCCTAATGCCAACTCCAGAGCACCACTGCTCTGGGGGTTTTCTCTTTAAAAATGAAATACAGAAACCATACCCTGGCTTTGTGTGTGTGTGTGGGGCGGGGTAGGAGGAGAGTATTAAAAGAGGCAATTAAAATGCTCCTGCAGGTATTGTTACAGTGTCCTATCTTCAACCTAGAGGACAGTAAATTGAGATTTGGTAGGCTGTGCCCCTGCTTGTAGCCACATGCTAAGAGTAATCTTGGACCAGCTTTCATTTTTCTCTCCAAGTTTATGGTAGCCCAAGAATAGTTTGTAAAAAATCAGAAGCAGCCTTTAACAGGCTTTGTTAAAGAAGTAAAAATATCTAGATATGTTAATGTACCTAGTCCATTTGTTAAGGGGGGGGACACCAAGTGGTAGAACATTTGAATCTTATTAAATGGAAACTGGTTGGTTTAAAGCAAAAACAAGGAAGATTTCTGCCCTCTCAGACGGATTACTTTTCCAGAGCATGCTTGCCTAGAGGTGCCGAGACATAATTGACTTCCCCTTTTGGTTAGCGTCTGGCTGACTCTTCAGTATTTTGCTTCCAGAAAGCCAGTAAATCCCAAGGATTTATGTGGATAGCAGTTTTCAAGAAACCTTTCTTTAGAGAAGGGTATTTTTCCATTGATAGGAGGAAGTTAAATGAGACCTTTCTTTCTTATCCTGTAAACATTGTCTAGCGTATAAAAAGAATGATTCATTTGGCTGGCTAACTACAGATCCCTGAAGGCTGTGGGGAGCTCCAGCCAGGTGGCTCTGGTTGAGGTGGTTGACAGAGTAGCATCCAAGCTGTCAACACAGAAAACCCTAGGTTCCTAGGTTCCTGTAGCTAACAGTCGCAAGTCACGAGGTTGAATCTTTCCATTTCTACATTTCGACATCCTCAAGACAAAGTTGAATTTATTTTCCTCCCTTAATCATACCCTTAGAGCTTGGTATTTTCTCAAGGCTGATAGTTTTTAAAATTAATTTTTTAATTAAATTAACCTTATGTCTAATATGCTATATTT